TTTGTAAAATAGTGTGAATAAATCTTGCTCCACTGGCTCAAACTACACCTCGTAGATGGAAACTGTTTTTATTAGATGGAAGTGTGCTGGAAGCAACTTGAAAGTATATGGGGCTGCTGGTTGTCCTTAGATGAGTGTGTGAAGACCTCTACCTTATAATGGTTCCTGCCAGTACCTTTAAGGCATTCACTCATAAAGATGTGGTTTATATGTATACACACACACATACACAAACGCACACACTTGGAGTGGGGGATGTTCTTTTAATAGTGTTAGGAAATTCTGCAGATGTCATTACGAACATGTTCATACTGGCTCTGGTTCTTGGCAGACTAACCCTTCCGTGCTGTTGAACTGGAAAAAAAAGAGCTTTCGTATCACTTACCCTGCTTGCAACTTGCTGACCAAGGAAAAGGAGGCACCAGCAGAGAAAAAGCGGGAATGCCCCAAGATTCTTGTGCCATGCTTTTACAGGTGCAATTTCTGCCTTGGGCCTTTTTGTCAATGACCTGAGTCCATTTCATTCAAGGTCAGCTTTGTGTTGAGCACACTGGCTTTGCCCAGGAATTATGCTAGAAAATTGGACTGTGACTAGGTCAACAGCAAGCCTTAGTTGTCAGTGAAAGACTTTTTCCTTTCCATAATGGAACACTTGATTTTTTTTTTATTATCTGACATTTTAGGCAATTTAAGAAAGTAGACAAAACAAAAGGAGAATATTTCATAATGGTCTGACATGTGCACTTACAAGCATAAGTGTAGTTATGGACACCTTGCAGAGTTTCTGAGAGTCAGTAGCTATCGTTGCAAAAGGAAGAGCAGAAACAGCACTGTGCCTAGAAGGAGAGGTGATGCATTTTTAACATCATGGGACAAGCACTGATCGTACTTTGCTGTGCACCCATTCCACCGCAGTCTATGCCTCTGCTATAGTTCACTAACTCTCTTAGTTTTGCTCAAGTTGTGCCCATGTGGTTTGTAAATGCACCTTTGCTTTTGAGTAATAAATGACACATGGCTGCTTTGGCAGCTCAAGGCTTGACTTTTCATCTTGACACCCTTGGGCATCTGGCAGATGACAGATGATAGATTTAGACAAACAGTAAAAGCTACAGAGTGCCTTGCATGTGTGTTTATCTTAACTTTGTAACACGGTCCAAATGTTATTTAACTTTATGTATTTAAAGGAGACCAATTGGGAATGGCATTCACATACAGTAGGACAGCTGATGCTGTTGCTCTAATTACTTGTTTGGTATAGTTACTAGCAAGTTTATAATTTCCTGAGCATGACTGGGTCTATTGAATTAAAGTAGGGTGTTTGGAAACAGGGAGAAAGAGGAAACCAAATGACAGTTTAACAATAGGCAGTAAATGTAAACCAGAACTTATTTACTTGACACATTATTTTAGTCAGGTTGAATTTAGTTTGGGGGTTTGCTGCTGAGTTGTTAAATGTGCAATATTGCAATGTGTTAGAGGAATGGGAATTCTTTCTTTCTATGTATTAGAAAATACTCTTTTCCATTAGTCAATGCACCTGGTACTTATTTTTTTATTGCAATAACAGAGATGTCGATACTGTATGTATTTGCAGGAGACATTAGTTTTGAAGAAATATTTGTTATTATTTGTTTACAAAAAACTTATAATGGGAAGGTAAATTTGGGTGAAAATGGCTGTTATTTTTAAAGCTCTGTCATTACTATTAAAATCTAAATTGGTATTTATTATTTTTAAATACTGCATTGCAGAATTTCTAACATCCATTGGCGTATTTTCATCAGGACTACATTTTGTGCCCAAAAATGTATTCACATATCTGCTGCTGCAGCTCATATTTCATTATTAGTACAGCAGCATAAGTATGCGTCTAAAGAAATATAGACAGATTCTCCATGCAGAGAAGCTAATAATTCAAGGGTTGCTCCTGCAAAACTTACACAAAGTACAGTCCTACCCTGCTGTGAAAAGGTTTTCATTGCATGAGTGGAACAAGTCATGTTATACTGCTGTTTGCAGACAAAACCCGCTGATGATATTTTCCTGTATGCATATGTTTTTGAGAATTTTTTTTACAAAACTTTTTTTAAAAAGTGGAAGATCAACTTTTAGCCAAAATATTAAAATAGTTACATTCCATTTTTCTCCTCCTTGGTTCTGTGGTTTGATTACCCTCGTTTCTTCTCTCTTGGTTGTATTGGTGGGTTAAGTCTGAATTTCCCATAGGGTATCCATTTGACCAAATGTAGTTACATAATACTATGCTTTCTAGAACCACATGTGAAGAAGAAAAATGTGAAATTCTTCAGAGAGCAGATACTTGTGAAAATTCATCAAAAAAGAATTTTGATGGAATATTTTGACATGTTCTGGAAGTAGAAGTGTGTCTGTATAATATGCTTTTTTCTATGTATTCTACCTGCCTGTACACATATTAACATTGTTGGGGTGTGTGTGTATGTAGGAGAGAGAAGTTATTTTTTAAGGGCAGTGTAGGACCAGACAGGCATCTGTACATGACTCTGAAACAGATGTCAGAATTGACAGACAAGCCAAAAATTATCATTGAGGAGACGGAAGATGAAAACAAATAATAGAGTACTGCTGGGAAGCATGATCTAATGGCAAGAGATGATGGGATGAAACCAAAACAAAACCAGTAAAAATCAAACAGGAGCACATTAAAAAGTAGAGAACCAGTATATCTTCAGAGTAATCCTCCATCTCATTCCCCACAAACATACAGTGCACATAATTTCTGGCTCCCTGAGCTGCTGGGATAATAAATCGTTGAATATGCATGAAATAATCTTTCCATTTACCCTACCTTTTGTCTATTTCATCAGATGGTTTCAGAATGGAGGGGTAAGAAGTAAAGATATGCAAAGGGAGATGACTAGATGGTAGAATGAAAGAGAAGTGGTTCGTAAACCAGTTCCAGCCCCATGAAGTTGCAAAACACAGCCACTGGCTTTGAGAGGCTCTGAATCAGACTCTACTGGCTGAGAAAAGCAGCAAAAAAAGAACCCCAAATGGAAAGGGGGTTTTGATTTGGCAAGAGTTCATAATGTGGAGAAGGAGAGCTGTAACACTTCATAAAGGTTGTCTTAAAACAACGAAAAATGTTACGATTTTACAACTTTTTGCTAGAATAGTAGCTAAGATCAACTAAAGGAAGTAGAAGAAGTTGAAATAATTACACTTCCTGGCTGGTCAGACTGATCTTGTCTGGACAATGTCGATTTCATAATACATTTAACTTGGCACCCTGGGATTTTTTTCTCTGCTTGACATGTTTTTTTAATGAGAAGTTGCATTTTAGAGACATGACCTTATGTAAACACTAGCCAGGAGAATTTGATATTTAACTTATTTTGCTGGAGAGAAGAGTCTCTCCAGGTAGTATACTTTTTTTAAACTCACAAAATGAAATTCATCAATGTTTGAGAATGCAAGCCTGGATTGTGAACTGTGAGGGGGTTTTGTCTTACATTGATGTAGGTTCAGTTATGCTCAGCACAAAAACCCCTCGTGAAACCCCTCTGAGCATCTGGATTAAATGAATCTGAATTGCTAATTGTTTAAAGTTGACTTGGTGGATGTCCAACAGATATCTTTATGTTGTTTGTGGTACACAATTGCACTCTGTTTAGAAAAAAAAACAAAAAAAACCCAACCAAACAAGCAAACTCCCCCCATGGCCAAGCAATTAATTCATGTGCAAAAAGTGGTGGTTTATGCCTTATAACATTAAGTTATCATATACAGGGGTGGGCCTACCCAAAAACTGGGTAGATACTACATGATGAGTTGCAAGCGAATGAGGTATAAATGAGACTGTTAGCATAACTATAACTGAAAGGGATGTCCTGTGCTTTGAGAGGATTTCATGTAAGAAAAGGAGACACAATTTAGCTGAACTGAAGACAACTTTAGTCCTTTGGTGAACCTTTCTATCTGAATGGTAAAGTGCCTCCAGATAGTGAGTGCTGATAATTAATGCAGATCATACAGTTGCATGAATCTGAATTTCATTCACTGACATGAAATATGTAAATATAAATCAGGAAAAGCCCAATTATTCATATATCAGTAATTCTCAATTCCCCTATATCAGCAATACAGGTTACTGCTCAGCTTCACTTTTCATATCAATGCCTATATAAGAGTACTAGCACCACCAAAAATGTTTTGATTCATTTGGACATTATATAACTTTGGTGTATTAAGAAAATGTCAAGGTGAGGTTACCTATTTTTAAGTCCTCATTTGAAATTATGAATGTGCCTGAATAACTTGTCCAGCTAGTCATGTATTTAAAATATCATGCTGAACTAATGCTTTAGTGCTTCATTATAATAGATTTTTAAGAATCTCTTATTTTTGTCTGTCCTTTTTTGTTTATATATTGTGTTGTGCATTTAGTATTCATAATGGACTGGGTGGGTTGGACTAGATGACCTTCCCATCTCAGGTATTCTGTGATTCTGTGATTTATAGTGTCTGTGAAACAACGATGCTCTGGTTCAATGTATATGATGCTACCCAAACAATACTTAGTGCCACCAGGCAATCCAAGAACAAACAGCTAAGAGTACCCTAATAAATGAAAGGTATCAACTGTTACAAAGGGCTTCATTTTCAAGTATGCTGTTTCTTTTCCTTTTCCAACCCAGTATGATGTTTTAATGCTTTCTGTGAGTCTTCAGCACCTCTTTCTTGGTATGGCTGGACAGCATAGATGCAGAGCAACAAACAGACACCGTATAAAAGTTGTTTCTGAAGCTGTGGTCATACCATTCATTTTCTGAATTTTTCTGATGTCTGATTCTGAACTCTGCTAAATCCTGTTTTCGTTTCAGATTCTTCTCAGTAAGCGAGTTTCTTTTATTGCCTTTCTCTCATCAGATGTCTTTTTTGGAGGAAAAGACCTGTTTGTTAAGCAGGTGAAGGGGAAAAGAATTAGTAATGAAATCTTTTGTGCTGTTTCCAAACAGGGACGAAGAGGCTTAGGTTCAGTCTTTGTTTGGGCGTCTGGAAATGGCGGAAGAAGTCGAGACCACTGCTCCTGTGATGGTTACACCAATAGCATCTACACTATCTCCATAAGCAGCACAGCTGAAAGTGGGAAGAAGCCATGGTATCTGGAAGAATGTGCATCCACCCTAGCTACAACATACAGCAGCGGGGAATCCTATGACAGGAAAATAGTACGGTTTTTAATTTTTTTTATGTATATGGGTTTGTGTTTTGCATAGTGACTTTGGGGAGAGGGAGAGAGAGCAAGCTCTTTTATACTAATTAATGGACTGCTTTAGAAAAAAAATCATATGTGAGCAAGTTCATTTAGCCTCAGTGTGTTACTTGGTTGGAGTCACCAGCATAGGTATCTCTGCATATTCCAGCCCAATGCAGTGCAGGTATACCCAGTTCATAGCAGATTTTTCCAGTCACCTAGTTGCTGCTGTCACTGAGTGATGCTTTCAAAGATGCTATAGCCACTGCCACCAAAACAGATTTCTGTCATTACCAATATCTTGTAGCCCATCAGTAGGCCTGAGAACATATCCTCCTTTTCTTTTTCATCCAGTAATCAATAGTTTTCCTATTTGACACGCATGATATTAGCAGTTTTCCTATGTACCTCTCTATTTTCTCAGATTAATTTTGATACAGTATCATTCCTTTTTTACATTCAGTGATGGTCAGTTATTACTAATATTACTGCCTATTCCACCTAGCTGATTATGTAAGCAAGATTAAGCTCAGTGCTCGTCTTTCCTGTATTGTTTCTCATCTCATTCCTAAACAGCCAGTGTCCATTTTCCATTATGTTCTCATCGTGGCTGGAAACGGATAAATTGTTTTAATTCTGTTTGATAATCTATTGATACCATTAGCATTTGTATGCTACACCTGCTTTTTCAAATTGAGTGCATTTAATATATTTTTCAATATTTAATATACTACTCCTTTTAACCTTTTAAACCTTTGTACTAGGATTATTCAGGTTTGTTAATATTGTCCTCTTCCCAGCTTATTTGTTCTAGTGTATAACTTAGAGATCTAAATTTCTTCCTGATCAGAAACTTTAGGGATTTTGTTTTTTGTTTTCCCCCCAGATGTTTTCTTAAGCACCCATCTAACATTACACTCTTAGCAGATACCTCTCTTGGTGTCAGTATCTGTCCTTAGCAGATACCTCTCTTGGTGTCAGTGAGGAATTAAAAAATCTTGCAGCTATGTTTTTTTAATAGTGTCTGCCTTGTCTTTCAGGATTCTGGGATGCTGGCCATCCATCCATTCTTGGATCCTCCTTTATTTTCAGATGATCTAATTTTTGTTCTAAACTTGTTCTGAGGTACTTCTTCATTCCAGTAATTTTTCTGATCTTAACTTGGTTCTCTCCACTGAAACCTTATCTCTCGTCCTGGCATGTTTCTTGTTCTCCCTGATAAATAATAGTAAAGAAAAGAAATTACTCCGTCTCCTAGCAGTCCTCACTTCTGTGATTAAATTCCCTCTACTGTCCTTTAAAAGACCTCACTAACTTCTTCATGTTTAAGTGAGACTGATACAATATGAGGTAGGCAGAGGCGATTGTGGTTCCCCAGCCTGACTTATTGCTTAGGCAACTCTGTAGGACTTCCCTGAGCCCTTCAAATCCAGCAGTTGCTGTCAGCTCAACAGTAATTTTCATAAATACAATCAATCTTGCTTTCAAAGTTTCCAGTGACAGAAAATCCACTTAAATTTAGGGCAAGTGGTTTCAATTACCCATTGCCATTAAAAAATTTGTCTTGTTTGCTATCTGAGCTCCTCTAGCTTCAATTTCTAGGCATTTGGTTGTGTCACAGATTTTGGTGCTAGTATGAAGAGCACTCTGGTTGTCTAACATCTTTCTCTCTACCCATGTAGCCTGATCAGTTAATCCCTTTTGATAAATGAAGGTAAGCTTCTTGCATCATTCTGTGTAAGGCATGTTTTCTTATAACCCCTCTCCCATTTTATGAGTTTTGAGCACCCAAACTGGACACAGTCAAGTAGTAGCAGTATCAATACCAAATGCACAGGAAAATGTGTATCCATGAGTGCCAGCTCAGTTCCCCTCTCTTCATACATTGAGCCTGACTGAGATTTGTTAGCTTCCCTGTCATGTAATGTGTTCATCATTGTGTGATGCCCAACCTGCTTTCAGAGCTGCAGCTTCTCTTTTTCAGAGTTGGTGGTCCAAGGACGGATATGAGGGTAGTTATGGTGTATTTATTGCACCATTTACCACTGGCTGTAGTGGTTTAGTACTCAGTCCAGACCAGCCCTCATCATCACTTTCTTTAATGTTTCTCCAAGGGCAACATTCATCAGAAAGTGCTGGTGTTTGTTTTCTTCCAGGTCTGTGGTAAAAGCTTATGTCATATTAAGGCCAAGAACCAAATTGTCAAAGGCCTGATTAGAAACAAGGCTCATTTCTTATATGTGCTATAAGCATATATGTAATTTCTCTGCTTCTGAGTATATATCTGATTTCTTATACTTACATTTTGAGACCTTGTAATTATCCCATTTTAAATCTCTATTATGTATCATGTACGTTTTTAATCTCTTAAATCTAAATAATTTTTAATTTTTTTTTAATGTGCAGTATCACATTATGTGTCATGTAGAATCCTGACTATACTACTTTCAACGAAAGTGGTGGCCAGAAAAAAAATACTGCAACACTTTGGCAAGCCCTCTTTTCCAGTAGCTTATGTTATCCACCATTAACTATATTACTAGTTAATTAATTTATTAATAATCAGTTTAGATCCTGTATCAGCTGTTTTACACTAGATAAAAACTTGGTAAATAGATGAAATTATTAAGGCAATACTGCTTACCCTTTCAAAATATTGACACTGTGGGTTTTCTTTCAATCTTCTGGAACTTCTCCAGTGTTCAAAGACTTGCTAAAATCAACAGTACAGTCTAACATGTTCCCTGTCCAGCTCTTGTAAAAAGTCTCTGGTGCTTCCAAACTTTCTGATTTAAACTTGCTATTTAAAATATCTTTAAATAGGAAGATGATTTATCATCTTTGTATGTTCTGAAAACTTAATTTAGATTTTTTTTCCAAAAAGGAACATTCAGTGAAATAGCCATTTACTGTACACTGCTATTAATTATTCTGTTATTTCTGGACAATTAAAACAATATTGGTTTGGGGGTTCTTTTGCTTCTGATGTATTTGAAAATAAAACATCCTTATACTTTATTCTGTTCTTGTAGGCTTCACCATTTGGCCTTTGTCTTTCCTTACTACCTCTATGCACCTTCTATCTTCTAATTTTTATTCATTGCTATCCACTTAATCTTTTATTCACTTTTATTTATTACTTCTTGCAACTGTCAATACTTGTTTTGTTGACCAGTATATCCTTGCTCATTTTTTAAAAATCTAGTAAAATATCTGTATGTTTCTCAGTCCATCTTTGTAGTTTTCTACTTAGCTGATTTAATCTGTGTGCATTCCTCTAATTTTTTAATAGCTGTAGTTTTCTTGATGATTGTCTTCCATACTTTTCAATTAGCATGGACTTTCTGCTTTTACAGAATTACTATTTCATTAAGAGACCATTGCTTATTTCTGACGTGTCACTCCCTTATGACTTACACTAGAATCAAAAACACTTGGAGGTGATCTCACCTTTATTGTTAAAGACTTTCTTATGAACCATGAGAATAGATAGTTTTTTAGTTTACTGAAGTATGGTACCCATCGCTTCTAGAATTTATGCACTGTGCTAATATTTGCATGTTTATATTTTGTTGTAAGATTTTTGAAAGGCATACTTTACAACTAAAAGATTAATTATTATATATAGAATGAACATACATTATCCCATAATTAGGCAAACAATGAAAAGATTTTACATAAACATTATTGTAAAGACTTAAAGATATGCCTCTTTAAAAATGTCATTAATTTGGAGTCTCCATTGGAGATCTGACACGGCCTATCAGAGATAAGTAACAATAACTTTTAACTGAAATCCATCAATTCTGTAAGCACTGATTGCTTTTACTAATCAGATCCTCCATTCTTTTGGGAGCAATCCAGTTGTATATGCCAATTTTAGATTATTCCTACAAAGTGCCTCATTTTGCAGAGTGAATGGTAAAAGCGTAAGTGTACTGAGGAGCCAGAAGAATTAACCCAAGTCCGTTGATCCTTTGTTTACCAGAACTTAATTTACCCTTGCACTCTTGTGCAAAGCAAATTTGATGTTGCGTGTGCTGAGATTCACTGATCTCAAACACTTGAATATCAGACCATAAATATTCCCTCCAAGACTCTTTTTCCTGTACTATATTATCAGCTGGCTTCTGAAACACACAACCTATCTGAGGATGTTTTACTACTGGTACTTGGCATTTAAAGCCAGGCAAACCTGTTTGCCTTCCAGACACTTTCAGTGACAAAGCAGAACAGTGTACAGTAGATGCAGTCAATAGCTTTCTGTTTGAGTTGCGTGTAAACCAGTTATCCCCATAAGGGATAACAACTACGTGCTTCTGTTATGCTACAGCCTGGCGAGAAATGACGTGAAATTGCGAAGCCAGCTTTCCTAACTGAGTATCAAGCAGTCCTTTCAACACACACACGGAGACAGGGACATTGCTCTCACCTGTGTGACTCTCTTGCTGGTAGCCTGGTTTTGAGAGCAATAATGTTAGCATTGCTATTCTCTTCTCCAACTTGTCTACTAAAATCCAGTTTTCCTAAACACCTATCAAACCTTTACCTTGGAAAGAAGTCTTGTTTGAAACAAGAACTGAAGTAAAGACAGAACTGAAAATTTTGAGGACAAAGTTTTACAACTGCTATAAAATGCTAAAAGAGTCTAGTGTAAAGAAGGTGTGTATTTTTCATTGTTGTACCACACATCCTTTTCACTGCATCATAGCTCACATTTTTGTTTAGACTGCTGCTCCTTTTGAGTCAGAGATTGTCTTCATATCTTTCCACAAAAAGCTTAGAGCTTGCAGTAAGTTTAAAGGGAAAAATAACAATAGAAGAAGAACAGAAAGATTGTTATTAAATTTAAATTCTCCAAATTCTCTTGTGCTTGTAAATTTATATGCAGTATACAAACCAGCTATGAAGGGCTCAACTTCATGCCATAATATCAAAAAAGCAACAATATTTGATCAAGGCATATGGTGATTTGGTTTGTTGGAGTGAGATTCCTATATTCAAAAAAGAAAAAAAAACACTACTGCAGTAAATCAGGAAGAAGTGACCTGGCGTGGGATTTACAATCAAAATGAACTTAACTCATTCTTATTTATTGTCATGTAACTCAGAGCAAACTCCAATATCATGTGAGATTCTGCAATGTTGTAGTACAGAAATACCTATCCACGATTAAGGGACAGTGAATGGTTACAACTTTATAGTGTCATATTCCACGGTTCCTTCATATCTTTCATTGCAGTTCTTCAGTTTAATATCTTTTTTTTATTTTCTGTTTTTCTATCCAATATGTGCAGAATGTATTATAAGGTAGATGAACAAACAGTAACCAAATGTTAGGCACTCATTGTGTGGACTAAAAAGGAAGAGTAAGCATGTTCTCTGCTAAGGGAAATCCCATTTTTGACCTTAGTCATTAACCTCCCAATTGGTGAAACTACGGAAAGATTGATGATGCAGCCTTAATAATGACTGTACAGAAATAGCATCTCCTTAATTCTTCAGAGCAAGTTGCTTCTGTAAAACTATTACAGTGATTTTTTTTTTCTTTAATAAATGTGTGCATTTTATAAAAGCTGTTGGACTTCTGAATATGGCAGGTATTACAGTGCTTTGTGGTGACTCTATCATTTTTGTCTGCCTTTCGTCAGGACATCTGTCCTAGGTTGCTAATTTCATGTTGATTAAAGTAGGCCAGTAGCAGAAACATTGTCACTGTCTTCAGTCAAATCTAGTTGATATAAATGATTTAGAAGTGGATATAACTCATGGCCCTAGAAATATTGCATGGGCTCCTCTTGGGTAGTCTGGTCAGCATTTTCATAGATCAGTAGTTGTTACAAAGATATTTGAAGCATACAAACGTGTTGTACTCAACAAAAGATTCAAAAATTTCTCCTTTTCCCCACCCTATTGATCAGAATGACAGCTAACATACACTAATGACAGCTTCATGGTGCTGTCAAACACCACATCCTTTTATTGTGATTAACGATGTTGCCCTCATGTGGTTCAGGAATTTGGGGGACTATTTTTTCTTCTTCAAACTTGCTCATTTGTTGGTGGTCCTGTACTCTTTTCTTCTCAGAGTAGACGCGACACTTCTCTGACAGTGAATCCATAGTGCTGAAAAACATGCCTCAGATCTTGGAGGTAATTTACACCTAAACATTCCAGCTCCTGTCAGTAACTTTCCTTTGAAATAGCTGAAATGGGATTTCTATTTAACAAGCTTTCCCTAAACATTTTCTGCTGAAGTATTTGCTGAGTGAAAGAGAGGGATAAGGGTCTGTAGGTCAAACTGCTGCCATAACATCTGCTTAGAACATGTGACAACACTGCCGAATAAAGAGGTGTCATGGTTTATTGTTCTTGATATCTGTAGCTATAGGACAATAAAAACACTCCGGAAGCATGTTCTTCCAGAGGATGAGAAACACAGATAGCATAAGGCAGTGCGCTTTTCACTGTATTGAGAGAGGCTGTTTCTTAAGGAAAAGCTGCTATGAGGACACATCTCCCTGCCTGAGGTCCTGTAGGATTTGCTGCCCTTTGGTCCTCTGAGGAAAGCACCTGCTGCACCATTTTTTTGCAGGGGACAAGGTACCGGGCTACAAAAGAGACGAGCATGTATTAGTCCCTTTTTCTGCCCTCTTTCCTGGCCTCCCTTCCACTCCTCACCACAGCGCTGACCAATGTTTTTCCAAATGGGACACGTGAATCTTGTGTGTCTCTATTTGGGTGCATGTCATCCTGTAGTCATTGGCCGTGTTAATCCCACCTGCAAAATCACTACTTGCACTTGCACATATAGGCAGTGTAATGTTAGGGCTGTTCCTGCTGCAGTTTCATCTCTTAATATTGTCAGGGCGTTTATGGAATTTGCATGCATTAATTTTTTCCAGCACTATTAATTTTCGTGGTCTAAATTAATACAGAGTCAGTAGGAGGGAAGGCAAGAGATAAAGAAATTATATGAACATTTTATTTATGGGGTTCAACTTTTAGCTGATGACAGATAAAAGAAATTGTTCAACAAGGTGCGCATTAAATAATAGGGAAAAAAATGTCCTTTCGAGACTTCATTGTTCTTGAATCTGGCCTTGGCAAGTTCAATAATGTAAGGATATGACATTATAAATGCTTTAATCCATCTTTTTCAACTTCTAGAATCTTCCATTTTGTTTCACTTGCTCACTACTTCCTTTCAACAATCATTTCCTGGGTGCTGTTAGCTCCTTCTCTATTAGAAGTCTTTTGTGTTAGCTTGCGTATGCTTACATGTCGTGAAAACTTTCAGCAGCCTTATACAAATTATGTAATATGTATACTACGGTATATGGCTAATGCAGATGTGTGAAACGTATACCTCCTACATGCAATTGCTTGTATTCTGCCTAGATGGGATGTGGCTGTTTTTTCAGATCATATTTTGCATATCTTCCAGTTTCAAAACTAGACGGGCATTTTTACATGCCCTGTGCTTTTTTGTGATTTTTCAATCCTCTGATCCTCTCCTCCTCCCATCTTTGTGCATATCTGTGTTGCAAATGAAGTATGATACTAGTGAATTAGATGAAATGGAGAAATAATAATTTTGTATACTTAGGTAAGAAGCTGTGTAAGCAACTTCTCTGCCCCTCAGGCAGATATTTTATGTCTGCTAGTGAATGAATCTCAGGGATCAGCTGAAATGCTGAGAATAAGGCTTGACATCACAGGTCATTCACTACCACCTTCATGGAGGTTTGCATTCTGGGGACTACTGTCTGCTAGTAACTGTTCTCAAGTCCACATGGGTTTTGCTTGACCTTCTGTTCGGTAACAGTGACTTCTTGTCTCTAATGCCTTGCTCTTGCTAGGAACTTCTTCGGAATGAAGGGCATGGATTAGAATCACTTTAGATTAACGTTGGCTGAAAGAAGCAGAATTTAGAATAAACACATTTGTGTGTGTGATTTACTGTCTTACAGAAAGAATCCACCTGAAATGCATTATGAGATAGGAACATCCTAACACTTAAGTAGAAGGCTGTGCCTCTGGTTGGTATTGCACATTATAGTTTATACATCCACCTAGATTACATAGAAAAATATGTGGCAGCATATAATTAAGCAATACATAACCATTTAAAACTGCAGTTAACTAATTGTCTGGTGATGTCTAGGCCAAATTTGTGATTACATCAGGATTTTCCAATTAATTGTTGCTTAATTTCATGTGAATTATTGCGTAAGGCATGAAGCAAGGATTAAACACAGTACTTAGCATGACCCCAACTGTATTCTATTCTTTCACATACTTACACTCTGACTTCAGGAAACTTAATTAACCCCTCCATACCTCTTTTATAGTCTCTAAAATGGGCATAACCAGTCTATATATAGGGAGCACTATATGATTTAGTTCATTCCTGTTTGTAAAGCACTTTGAGATTCTTGGATGGAAAGTGCTCTGTAAATGCAAATAGAAGGACTGAGTTCTAACTGTGCAGTTTTAAAATCCTCTGCAGTTTTTTCTAATTTATAAGTCTTTTTGTTGATCATGCCATGAAAAAAAATGAGACTAACTTATGTTTTCAGTGCGATACAGAGAACACTTTTCCAACTTCACAAGTGACTTCAAGCTCAGAACATGTAATGTCGTGTATTCAGACACCCTTTTTTTTTGCCTTTCCTTGCAATGAAAGAAGGAAATACCACCTACGTACATGCGACTCATTCGAGCAAATGAAACCTGTTCTGATTTCTGAAGCTGTGTTCTAAATTTCACACATTCAATTTCTTCCAGATCACCACAGACCTGAGGCAGCGTTGCACAGACAGCCATACCGGAACCTCAGCCTCTGCACCTATGGCTGCAGGCATCATTGCACTGGCACTGGAAGCAAAGTAAGATCTGAGTTATACTCTGAAAAAAAAAAATTAAGCATACGAAAAGATCTTTTTCACTCATCCAGCATCTTTATCCAGGGATCTCAAAGTGCTTTGGAAATTTTGTTGTAGGAATTCACAGTACCCTTCCAAGGGCAGGAAAGATCCACGTGCTTATTTCACATGCAGGAAAGCTTACACCATGGAAATAACGGCAGAGTACTCAGTGTTGAAATAACTTGAAACGGTGTTGAGCACAGGTAGTTTCCACTAAATGATGTATGGGATCCTCACAATGTCTTACAGTACCCTCACAGTGCTGCCCAGATATGCTGTACTCTGCAGGCTACTGTAGGTCACCTCTTGCATTTGTCAGGCTCCTCTTAGCAGCGTCTGTTCTTGAACATTGAAGGAAGTTTGGGGACGGTGTTAGGCTACTATGAACAGCAATTAATACAGTATGAAAAATAAAAATTCTCAACTTCTGCATGCTGACAAAAGTCTGTTTTTTCTAATGGGTTAAGTTCCTCAGCTGTAAAAACCATGGACTGTGTAGCTCCATAGTCTTTTTACCTTTAACTCAGAAAAGTTTCTGTCTTAGAAGCATTTTCTCCGCTGCAGGATTTTGTTGTTTGTGTCTAATGTATATCTTTAATGTCCTTTATGGAGCAGCAGAAATGCTGGAGATTTATTAGGGAAATCTGTATTTCAGAAGCTTTTGCATTACTTTGTGCTGCGTTGGATAATATTTGCAGGTCTAAGGTGGAATGCTTTACCCCAAATCCTGCTTGAAATCAAGAGTTTTAAGTGCTAGGAGATTGATTCTATTAAATTCTGAAGAAAACCTGTTTCCTCTGGGGTCAGCCAGCTCCTTTAAAGGAAGTAAAAAATTTGCACACAATAGTCATTTCAAATTGTATGTAATTCATAGCAGCAGAATTATGTTTCCATCTTTAATGTTGCTTTTTTGAAGAAATCATGGGCCAATATTCAAAACAGAATACTTTTTTGCTGTTGAGTTATAGTCATGAGAATAAGAGTTAGTAATTGAAGAGCTGACATAATCTTAAATAGTGCAGTGCTTGCATCATTATAATTAGATTTGCTTAATGCAGTCATTAGAAACAAAGGTATTCTGAAAAGTTAATCTAATGCTAATATTTTTTTAGAAATCTTTTTAATGTCATTTTAATCTCAGTTTTAAAATCCTTAAGTTCATTTTAAACAATCTACACATGCTGATAAAATTGCCTTTGCATAAATTTCATTCTGCTGAAAGTTTTTCTAATTATTTCTCAATGAAAGGAGGTTGCTTGTAATTTATGGTTTGTATTTTATATGATATTTTGTGTGAATCTTCTAACAAATTATTGTTGTAATTGAAAGTTTCAAAGAGTTAAAGCACATAATACCTACAATCAAGCTATTGCTGATTGTGACATCTTAAAACACACTAAGAAGCTTACACTTTACACAGCCTTTTTCCAAGAGATTCAGGGTGAAAATGTATTGATTTTGCCTCCCTTCAGATTCTGTTCAGTTTCAGTATCTGGAGGGTTCTTACTTATTTCCAAATCTTATCCTATATATTTGCATAGATCCAAAGGAATTATATTAATAATATCATAAATGTGGTTTTCCTCATTTGTATTCCATTCACTAACTTTTCTCTCCTATGTGTACTTACAACCAATTTTCTGAACACAGCCACCATCAAGAAATGAAAGAAAAAATTAAAAAAAAAAAAAGGAAACTAGGGAGATAAATATGTTCAGGTTTCCCATGCTGCTTTTTCCCATACTTTAATGCAGTCCTAGAGTTGGAGAAACCTTTGGTCTTGAGAAGTTATAAATTATGAAGTAAGGCCTTTAATATTACAAGGAGATCATATCATAATATATTCAATTTTAATGTCTGGGATTTGTTTGTATGAAATCTATTTGAATTAATTTAAGCAGTTTCTGAATGGTAATTCTTATTTATTTATCTAATTTGAAAATTCAGATGGTATTTTCACCTGTGATACCTGCCAGTTTAGGTGATCCTAAATAAATGCTAGGAATTAAAGTGCACAAAAAGAAGTTTTGAAGCCATCTTAAGTATTTTCTCAAATACTTTTAAGATATATGGCATGTAAAGGACACATGATATTGTGGCTTAGCATAAGAGCTTACTGGAACTAGTTTGCATTCAAACAGAGTTTGCATTTACACAGATTCTTTGTTAGATTCCATGTTAGTGCCTGTGCTAATAGCACTAGTGTTTATATGAGATTTTTTAAAAAGACTAGTTGGAAAGGGGTTTTGCAAGGTTAATTATGCTCTTCATACAACAAGCTGCTTAAAAATTGGAGCACTTAGTCCTGAAGGCTTCTTGAATATGTCTGTAATAATTTGTACTTTCATTCCACTTTGTGCTGGAAAACACAACAAATTATACCGTGGAAGGGTTTTGAGCCTATGAGGTCCGTTTTTCCCAGTACCCAAGTTCTGTTCCTGGGAGACATCAGGAGGTGAACAGAGCACTAGTCTGGCCTGGATAGGAGTTAGAACAGCTAAGAGGTTGTTTCAACTCACATGCAAAGGCACATTAAAACAATGGAAAATGAGCAAGGCAGATTTCCACTCCAACCTGCCACTTTCTTTCTTTGATAAGCCCCATACGTTAGTATTGGCAAATAGCTGATGGAGGACCTCTTACCTGCTTACTGATTTAAGCCCTCTACTTAGCTAGTTTTTCCAACTGGGATCCACTCCTGAAATCCTGGCAACAAATCGTTTTGGGGTGGTGGTCTGCTTACTACCCCAATTTCAAATAATACGAACACATCTTTTTTATGAGTTGCGTTTTTGTTCCAGTATTTGAGTATCAAGTGGATGTTTTCCTGCAGTAACCAAAGAAGTGTAACTGAGTTTCAGACTGGTTGTTTGGAATCCCCAAGGGTGTAATGCAGAAATGTAGATAAGCAACAACTGTCACACAAAGACAGACATCTCTTAATCGTCACATTCTATGGTTTTCTTATGGTATTCAAGTAGTTCATTGTTTTATCTGATGGTTCCTAGTGTATCTAGTATCCTGTTCAGGCTCTATGAATAAACACTTGCTTGTGTATTGCACTTCTTAGTCATTATATAAGGTTGATTTTTGCTAATTGTCAACCAGAAATTATGGGTATAAAGTATAATTGATTTAGTCAGCAGAGGCAGCAGTCTTCTTACTAAAAATAAACTATTTGCATTGCATAGTACCATCTACTGTTGATATCAGAAATACCCTTTCTTATTGATGAAAGGTTTGCATTTGGGATTTGGGCAAATCAGAGTCAGGAGAAAAAGTATGCCCACATTTGTTCCAGTGGGCATTGTGACATGTTCCTTTGGAGAAGACAAATTTTAAAAAAATCTTATGTTGCTGACGGAAGAATACATTATACATCCCCAACTGAACTGCATGCTCCACTATCTGTAAGCCAATGCATGTTTTCCAACCAGTGGTATATAAACTGCAGTTACATGAATAAGAAGTAGCACCTGAAATGGAAGTATTAATTTGCTATGTTTCTACTGTGTGGTATACTCAGTGGTATTGCTTTGGGGACAGTCTGTTTTCTTCCATGATTCTCTTCACATGACCTGTATACTTCATTTGTGTTTGGTTACATGAAACCAAAGCTAGAACAAGGTAGTGTTGGGAAGAGATAAAGCATATCAGTGAATTCTGATACCTACGATGCATTCAGAAAAGTGACTATGCGTCGCGTTCATCTAAAAGGTAGTATAACCGAGTGTAATTACTGAGATGAAATAAAAATGGAGTTCACATTGCAAGGGGTCAAGGATGTCAGAGGAAGATACTTTGGGTTTCTGAAAACTGATCAGATACTTGCAATACTTCCCATATTGACTGATTTTCTTACAGAAAGGAGAAAAGCAGTATACTGTCTGGCAAGGAGCAGTTTTGGATACAGAGAACATATTTCTGTGCCATCAAAGTTATGAGGAATTTGCCTGTTCATAAATATAGTCAGAGGCTAAAGGTGATGAGACAGTTGAGGTGAACTGTGGAAGTCCCGTCAAGTGACCTCCTTATGTAGGCTTCCAGTGTAAGAGAAGGAGAGGTTATCTTTTAAATCCATTAGCTTTAGTTGTCTTTGCTCTATTGATTGACTGCCTGTTATAAAAGGGAACACTAGAGTGTGTGAGTTAGAAATCTTTTTGTGAATCTTTGCATTTTTGGAATAGCTTTAAAGTAATGCTCTTAATGGTGAAGTATTTGAAAAATGTAAACATAAATAAATGCTTAATTTAGAACCTGTTTTTCTCTTGAGCTTTACCCACCTGTGTCACTTATGCAATTTCAGTTATTATATTGAGATTGACTTGGAAGTGCTTTCCTGAATTCAGGTTACCCAGTGTTTCCCATTTTAAGGTCCTGTTTTCAGTTACATGTAACTTTGCCAAGGAATAATCATTTGGTCTGAAATTTTCCATGTAACTTGCTTTAAAAAGGTTTCAAGAAAATTCCACCCAGACATTTCTTAAACTGAGTCTAGGTTAAAAAAAATGTTTGACTGGGATAATTTTTAACTTTTTCATTGAGTTTTTACTGTGTCTACACTTTGGAGGAACAGCTAGAAATAGAACAAGTGGATAGCCGTTGTTCTGGTGCCAGGGCAATGCCTTTTACTTTCACAAGCTTTTCAAAAATTTCAGTTGGCGTGTGCTCAGTTGAGAGTTTTAAGAGTTTGGCAGCTCTATCCCCCGTAGTTTCTTGGTTCTCCAAGTGCTCCCCAGCCTCAGCTTTTAGAGGCTGCTTAGGGTTGTCTCTGAAGTTGCCGTTAGGGGTGCTGCTGGCTGTTCACCTTGAGAGCAGGGAGCCCATCTACTTTTTCCTGTCTGCGTTCTTGCAGCAAGAGGGAAACGAGGAAGATGGAAGAGGAGCAGGTTCACTGGATTGCAGTCTCCCTGCAGTCTTTCTTTTACGATTCCTTGCACCACGGTGTCGTAGCTCAACTA